AGAGACTCTAACGAGGAGGTGGAGACCAAAATCCTCATGTTTCCGATTGAAACAAGAACCCACCCAAGCTTATAAAAGGCTAACACAGAGTAGCCAAATGCTCCCCTAAATCTTTCAGTCATTTTGCTCTTGCTGAGATGTTAAGACTTTTCTATGTTTCTAAAAGAAGAGTCCTTTTTAAATCCACCAGGGAAGAAAATTGCAGACTTGAACCTTTTTTGCAATACTTCCCACAATGTCCAAAGACTCAAGAATCTCCCTCCTCACCTGTTATTGGGATGTTACATTATGGTTTTCTTTTCAGCTAGAATTTCATGCTTGGTATATTTACTGTAGCAATATTTCTATTATTATTATAAACACATCTCTGTCACAGCATAATAAAGGTGCCTTGTTTTTAATACATGGCCTACATTACACATTAGGAAAAGTCTGTCAATTTACTTAGTTACCATCATTACAATTCTCTACTGGTGATCACAATGTATAAACTACAATCCATGGACATGGAGACCCACGTGTAGGCAGGACAAAAATGTTTCTTCCCCCTTCATACACCACAGACAAATACATCTAGGCTTTGAATTGGACAGTCCCTCAATGAATATTACTATTACTTGTACCACAGTAGTGCCAACAGGACTCACCTAAGATCAGTGTCCCATTGCGCTTGGCATTGTACAAACAGTAAGAGAAAGTCCCTGCCCTGAAGCGCTTACAGTTTAAGTAGACAAGAAAGTGGTAATAGAGGCACAGAGAAGTTAAGTCACACATTAAGGGCCACACAGTGGTCAGTGGCAGAGATGGGGGCAGAAGCCAGGTTTCTTGACTATCAAGTTCAGTGCCCTATTGGGTGCATCCTAATACTGGCTGACTAGTGGACAAAAACTGGCCTCAGAAAACAAGACTTGCCCTATAGCCCAATCTCCTGGCTAGAAGAAGTGATTTAGAAGTTAGAGAGCACTGGTCCACAGAATAAATTAAGAGAGCTGATTTAACTGGTCACAGAGAATTTACTTCCAGATGACCAAGACAGAAGAGAGAAACACTCTTATCTGTAGACACTTCTAATGCCATTGGCAGCCTGGTGACTATTTCCAGAAAAGGGTTAATCTATTCAGGATCCTCAAATGATGTGAAAAGTGAGCATGGTCTAGAGAATACCATCAGGCAGAAGCACAGACAAAGATATACACTAAAATAGAGAGCAAAATGGTCTACGTTTAACTTCTAAAAAGGAACAGCCATAATTATTCATGAGATCAAGTGATGCTCAAGTCAAGTGGACAAACATTTCACAGCATATGCACAGTCCTGCGGTGCACTTGTAGCTGAGCAGGACACCGTCATGATATTTTGTCAACTGCTTTGTGGTTTTCTATCAGTGATGTAACTGCAGCAGAAACAACAAGGCACTGGACCCAGCTCTAGAATGCTAATTGGAAAGACAAAAGGGGGAAACTTGAGCACCGAACTCTGGTTTTTGTAGCCCATTTGTGTTAAAACCGGGAACCTGAAGGAATTACAAGAAGCAGGAGATGCTTTCTGTTCTTTCCACTCTTACACTGACAGTGAGGATGTTTCCAGTAACAGAAACAGAGTCGCAAGGTGTGGTGCAGGGCATCTTTACTGTACAATTGACCAGTGTTTCCCAGAAAGCAGGGAGGAGCGAACAGCATGTGCAAAGTTCAGAATCCATTCAGTATATTTTACTATAATCAGTGAATCACTAAAATTACTTATGTTTTCTGTATGGAAGACAGCCCCAGAGAACATCCTAATGATCTCAGCGAGTACACAAGGAGAGGAGAGGGTGTGGAGAAAGGGAAGAAATTATCTGTGACTCAATATTACTCATGCAGTGCCAATGCAGACTCCTTTTTACAGCTTGCTTGTGTATCCTGTATCTCCCTATGCACTACTAACAAACAGAAGAAAATTTGATTGTGTTTTACATATAATTGCTATTTCATACTTCCCCAATGAGATTGTTTCATCATGTTTCTTCACATCTGAAATGCAAGGTAAATTAGAATGCACTTCAGTAGAACTGGCAATATTATAACAATGTAAGTTTTAACAGACAGTTTTCTAAGCAGTGAAGGCATATGGTAAGCCAGCTAAGTAGATGGATGAACAGAGTTTGGCATGGATTCCATCTTTATCCAGTGACTGGGTATACAACAAAATGCAGCACAAGCGGTGTCTATGGCGAGGAGGGAGTGGGCCAATCACCCATAATTTCTGGGTGTGGAAGGATGCAGAGTAGGTGGGGAGATCAGCATCCCGAGGAAGGATCTGAACTACTCTGAAATAGGTGGGGAAGCTAACCAGCACAATACCATGAAGGCTTTAAACTATGAAATCAAGTGTAAGGGGGTAGAGACACACAATACCTGCTTGCCTCAGCATGGATGTGTGGGAATAGCAGAAAGGCCCCATCTCAACACTCCTGTGACAACCAACATAAGCAAAATAACTAGTACTGAGGGCTGGGGGAAGCAGAAAACCTTTAAGTCAGGTCCTTGAGGAACACAGATTGATTGGTTGTAGGACTAAGTGTCTGAGCTCATCATCCATTTACATATTATAGCAGATCCTAGGGGTTTCTTGTTGGCCTCCTGCAGATCAAATCGCTATGGATGACAGCACAGCCAGTACCCACATTCATAAGCATTCAAATTCTGATCTGCCAGGTGCAAAAATCTGTGAGAAGCTCAGAGCAGAATGACAACCAGTGTACTCAGCAGTGCACATTTGCTTTCTGTCATCCAATCGGTCTCTATCACCCAGCAATGTAAGTTCTGGTTCTTTCCTCCACCACATTTTCTGGGTTAAATTTCCAACGGCTGCAATGATCTGCTTTAATAAAAAAAAAGAAAAGAAGATGACAGGCTTCGGAATACAGCTCTGTGTGAGGCCTAGGGAGACTTGACTATCTAGTGAGTTACAGCACGTGACCGGGAGTCGGGACCGTGTTCTTTTCGTCCAGGCCCTGCAGCTGATGTGCTGTGTGACGAAGTCAGTCACTTCTGCTGAGCCTAGTTTACAGGTGGGCTGTGAGGCTTCAAGTCTGTGATGTGCCAAGAGAGCTGAGGAGAAAAGGTGCTCTACATGGGCACAGGGTTATTTTTTTATAAAATCTTTAACTAGACATTTCTCAAACTGTTATGTTGCTTGCCTCTTCTGACAAATAAGAAAGTCTCCCCGACCTGAATTTTATTTTAGATACTACCTTTTTGGAAGAGTATTGAAAATATGCATCAAGGAGCTGTCTGTTCATTTCTCCCTTCCTGGGTTGCCACCATCTGGGAGTCAGTAGAAGCAGACATGATGAATGTTTTCCTAAGGAAGCTCTGCTTTTGCTAAATACTAAGTAAAAATGAAAACAATAATAATAGCTCTTATTTAGCACTTTTCATCCACAGATCTCAAAGCACTTTACAAAGGTCAATATCATTATCCCCATTTTACAGATGGGGAAACTGAGGCACAGAAGGTGTGACTTGCCCATGGTCATCCAGTAGGTCAGTGGAAGAGCCAGAAATAGAACGTAGATCTCCTGAGTTCCAGTCCAGCGCTCTATCCACTAGGCCACATTGCCTCACAGAAGGACTCCAGCAAGAAGCCAGAAGGAGCTCAGATAACTGATAATGAGCATGGTATAAGTACCTAGAAAGATTTGTTTGTATATCTCTGCCCATATAAAAATCCTGCAAAACCTGTAGCCATACATGCATTGTCCTTCTCAGGAGGTTTCCAGGCTCTGCCTTACCTTTCAGGTGAGGCAACTATTGGATACAGTCATACATGAGCGCTCACTCATTGTTTCGTATGCTACGTGTTCTATCCCTTTTGTGCATACAAACAACCTGTTTGCTTTTACACCACACTGACAAGCCAACTTCATTGTGCTATGTACATGACAAATCTTTTTCCTCAAAAGTTCCTCCAATTTAAAAGCACATATGAGCATCTTTGGCTATAGGTGCCAATGTGCATTTTTCCTAGTCCTTCCATGTTTTTTTATTAATTAAAGCAATTTTTTGTTATCAGTAAACTTCTAATCACTGTCTACTTCTTCCTCCAAATGATTAATGAATGTATTTAACAATGATCCCAATATTTATTAAACTATTAACTTCTCTCCAGTTTTAAGAAAAGACATGTAATATGACTTCTGCCACCTCAACCAGTTTTTCCATGACTCTACTCAAACTTTGTTTTCCCCTGTAGTCTGACGGAGGGACTTTATCAAAAGCTTTCTGACTATCCAAGTAAATTAAGCCTATTCAATTACATGTAGCAATTACTTTATTAACTTTTCGGAGATTACAGAGGCATCATTTTCTCTTACAGAAATTGTGTTGGCTAAGTGTAACCTGATGGGGTCAAGCTAAGTTTTGTACAATTCTAGCCTTAATTAGACAGGACTAAGAATTATAAGGAGGGCCTTTGTATTCACTCAGCATTTGTTTATTAGTCAGGAATGCATTTAAAAGGCTTTCCATAATGTGAGTCATTTGCATTTCCATTAATCATCTAAAAAGAAGCAGAGTGCCAGGAAATGAACTCTGGAACAAACCCCACCTCCTTTTACTTTCTATTGGGAAAGTTAAAAGAATTCTTGCCTTAGCCCCAACTATCCCAGTTCTCCCCATTACAATCACAGCTTTATGCCAGCAAAACAGAAAGGTAGCTGATGCTCCATTGTTTCTCTATTTGGGCTGAAATGTTACTTAGCTGAAGTGGAGCTTTTGTATCAGGGAATTATATCAGAATTATATTAATGGGGTACCGTACACACAGGGAAGCAATACATTTGGAGATAGGTATTAAGTTGCCACATGCGCTTCCATTTCTGATCTACTGATTTAATCAGGAAAGTGCTGCACAGATTCAGGTGGTAACAACTTTGTATGACAGCAGCTCTTGAAATCTCCCCAAGCCATCTGTACAAAGCCTTTAAAGCAAGAGGTACCCTGCTAGCAGCGACTTACCACATTGCATGCATATAGGTTGGAGGTAGACGTGGGCTGCTGACAGGGGTACAGTTGTAAGACCGCATAATCCTTTCTGCCAACAGGAAGTTACGAAATAAGCTAGCCACCAGCAGATCCTGCCTGAAGAGCTTCTGGAAGAGATCTGCAGAGAGATAATGTGTGTGACACACAGGTACCTTCAGTGATCTGTAAGAAGCATTTTGTACCAGCAGATACACACACACACGCACAAGAGAGCTGATCAATGAATACTTTCCTCCAACAAAACAAAAACAAAAACCCAGAAAAGCAAAAGCCCAAGACCTCCAGAAATAGTGTTGCTGTCACTTTACACCCACAGAAGGATTAATGGGCACTGAGTTTGCCTGACAAGTGTGACAATAACATCTCTACAAAAACAACAAGGAGTCTGGTGGCACCTTAAAGACTAACAGATTTATTTGGGCATAAGAGTCTCTATGCATCCGAAGAAGTGAGGTTTTTACTCACGAAAGCTTATGCCCAAATAAATCTGTTAGTCTTTAAGGTGCCACCAGACTCCTTGTTGTTTTTGTAGATACAGACTAACACGGCTACCCCCTGATAAATAACATCTCTACTGAGAAGTCACACTTAGAGCTGGACGAAGTTTTCTGACTAGTTTCTTCACTGAAAAATGCAGTTTTGGTCGACCAAAACTATTTGTGAATTTGAAATGAATTAGCTGAATAGTTTCAGCCAGAAAAAAAAAAATTCAGGCTAGATTCACAAAACAAAGGAATGGGGGGTGATGGTGGGAGAGCCCACCTTATAACTTTTGGTCCAGTGGTTAAAGGATTCACCTGGGATGTGGAAGACCCAGGTTTGAATTCCAGTTCTGGGGCAAGGTCATGAACTCAGGCCCTACCCCAGTTGATTGCGCTAGCCACCACCAGGTCTCTCTCAATCTCTCCTGTTGAAGCTAATCCACTTTGTATAAATATTCACTGGAGCAGGGATTTGAAGCCAGGTCTCCTCATCCCAGGAGTGTGCCCTAATCATGAGGCTACAGAGTCAATCTCATGCTCTTTCTTTGCCTCAATGACCGTTTAAGTATTTTATGCAAAGCACAATAGTTTCAACAAGAGAGATGCAGAGACACCCACCTCAGAATACCCTATACCTTGGTGGTTAGGGCCCTTGCCTGGGAGGTGAGAGACCTAAGTTAAAGTGAATCTAGCCCTTTACAAATGCCCAGAAACAAAACATTTCAGGTTGAATTATACATTTTCTTTGACCCAAAACTAACTTTTTTCATTCGCCCTTTTTTTTTTTTTTGGCATTTTCTAATTCAGTTTGACCAGGACTGAATTTATCCCCCAATTTTTCAGAATGGCCAGCAAATAAAAATCAATTATTCACCCAGCTCTACACCCACTCTTCCCTCTCTCCACTTACTCAATACTTTCTGCCTTTCTGTTGTTTTTCCCTTTCCCAGGCATGGATTCTTTCTTCTGGTGTCTCACCTCAGCCCATGTTTTCTCTACCTCTTTTATCATCAGACTCTCTCTTCTTCCTTGTTTTATTAACCCCCTTATCTAACTTCCCTACCCCTCTACTCTGAGCAGCCAGCACTTGTTCCTGGTGAAAACGTGGACTGTTAACTGCCAGACAGTCCTACCTCGTGGCAGGACATTCCACGCAATGGTGTCTGTGATTGCTGTAAAGATCCAATTCAGCTCTCCCAGAGGCGTTCTCCTGTCATTCAGTCTGCCAGGAATCCTACAAAAGAGACATTTGTATTAAGTATGTTACTATTTAAATAAATAAATAAATAAATATGAATTTAAATATATATATGCATGCACTTAGGCCATACCCAAGGCCACAGGTGTCACTGTACTGTTGCTTTAATTTTATTAAGAGAAGTTGCTTTGTTCCTCCACGAGCACCGCCTCGATTTCCTTGTTTCAGTAGGAACTTCTTCCACGTATCAGTTTACCTCATATTTTGTTCCCTATTCCAGTTTGCTGCTTTTCACCTTTCCATCACCTGAACTATACGAATTAATGTAGGACTTAAATGACTGAGATTCTGAACTCCTGTAACAACAGCTATGCCTTATACAGCACTAAGGGAATTTGCTAATAAACTTGCCATGTCACTGAATAATGGGGGGGGAGGATGAGACAATTGGGGATGTACTGGAAATTGGAGGTAAGCAAAATGCAGTACTGATCTTCAAAGAAAGGAAAGAAAAATGATCCCAAATATTACCATCCTGTAAATCTAACTCCTTTCCCTAGCAAAATGATGGAACAAATATGAAGAGGATAATGGAATCATAAGCCAAATGGGCTTATCAAGAATATTGCTGGACAAATTTCATTCTATCAAAAAAAGCAGTAATATCTGAATTATCTCAGGAATTGAGATTTTGGATGGAGGACCACGATCAAGAGATGATCAACCATGAGATGAGGTGAGGTGAGGGAAATGTATCTTGAGGGGCAGTGCAGGGAGAGGTTCTGTTAGGAACTCCAGAAAGTTTGTTCTTCAGATCACATCTGCTGTTTGGCTTCATTTTATTCACCACCCAATACTTCTGTTGAAGTATTTAATAAAAAATATGATTAATAATAAAAACTTTGAGCTCATGTTCCAAATAGCCTCTGGATAAGAACTGCTCAGCGTCCACTGGCACAGAATGATGTTCAGTCAGAAAACACAGCTTTCCAGGCAGTGACAATAATAATAAAGAGCACATTGGGTTGGAAAATGTGGCCCTACTGTTAAAGGTTTATGAGGGTAACAGACTTACTTCACAACTCCCTGCTGTTGTAAATGAACTAGAAAGATATTGTCTATCCATGACGTAGTAAGACCTAGTGAGATTTTCCTCATTATTCAAGCCAGACAACAATTTAAGCACATTGGAGTATGCGTGCCTCTTCTACTGAGGTCATTAATGCTCATTTATGAGGGGCACATTTTGCTGTTTCTTACAAGTATACCACATTTTTCCTCCCACTACGTTCTTTGAAAATTTGCCTCATGTGAATATGATGCACATCTGTCTATATATGTCTTATGATCCAACGCTATAGCCTTCAGGTGCCACCATAACAACTATCTGAAAAATACGTCAGGTAAATATTTAAACTCACTAGGTAGCTTCTTATTCCAACAGAAGGTGTTTCTCTAAGCCAAAGGCTTTCTGATGAACAGGTCAGCATTCCTGGAAAGCAATAATGGTACCCACTGGACCATCAAGATCTGCACTACTGTGCAAAATTTTAATACATGTATCGCACAAGGACTCGAGTGTGAAAGAGACATTCTCTTCATCACCCTCAGAGTTACAGAGCAGGAAGAGATTTTCAAATAGTTTTCATCTGAAAAATTTCTCCCTCTCAAGATTTTCAGACACAGTCACCTTGAGAAGCTCGTTCTAGCCAATAAACCATCATCAAACTGCTGCTGAAAGCATGCATTTTGGAACCCTAGAGTAACATAGAAAACCACACCACAAGCTGAGGCAATGACTTTTACCGCCACTTTGGCTGCATTTGAGCTCTGCGGTCTTTCAGGAGTCATTCTGCCTGTTCCACTTAAGCCAAATCTAGACGTTTAGGGTACAGATTATCTCAAGGTGCAATGCACAGCCACCTGAATCCTCCTAGCTGTAACTTTCAAAGTAAAATATTCAGTATAAAAATCTTCTGTCCATGATGTTTAATATTCTTTGAAGAGAACAAAGACCCTTTCACTAAAGGGTCAGGGGCATTGCTAATATAATATGGCGGGAGATGATCAAACAGCAGCTATTACCACTGGTGCTGCAAGCTGCTCTCTGGCCTATGTGGATTGGTGGCATCAGTCCACTTGGTTAACATTCACGTTCTCCGGTTCTCCAGCTTTGGGATATGAAGTTCAGTCTCACCTCCATGAACAGGACGATCTTGTCAGCAACACACACAGGGAGTCTACATCACAGTGTCACATTAAAAATGCTGAGGAACCAAATTTTCAACTTTATTTTATTTTTGAAAGGAGAAAAAAGAACACTGAACGACTCCTAGCATGGTAGCCTTCCAAACAGTGATCTATTGCCGACACTTCTCCTGTCTTGGGAGACTCAGGGAAACTGCAATACCAGGGATTCTCAAAGTTCAGTGTTTGGGGTGTAAGAAATCAATTCAAATCTATTCAAATACTGAAATATTTACACACTGACTTTCTCTCAAGCAAGTAAATCTTAGCGCAGGGTAAATTTAGTAATTGACAAAGCAGCCCATGATTCCAAAGTTCGTTTGCAGGAGATTGTAGCACATGGAATGCATATTCTACAAATGCAATGCTGAATTTAGTGTATATTCTTTTTTAAGTCTGTTCCCCCAGAGGTAGAGTTTAGTGGTATGGAACCAAAGTATAGCAATAATAGGGCTGAGACAAAATTTTAAACTTTGCATTTGCTACAGTGGAGCCCATGGTTCTAGCTATACTTAATATTCCTTCCCTCCTCAGTGAGTTGACAGGACACTGCTTCCAAAAACACCTTTTTGTCTAGATGGGGGCCAGCAGCAAATAGGAGCTTCAAAAAAACTAAAAGGATTTGTTACCCTTTACCTCAACCCAAGCCACTGGCACCAATGTCCAGGTTTCCTAAGTTTAGGAACTAGTAGCTCTGTTGCTGAAATTTGCAGATGACACAAAGATTGGTGGAGTGGTAAACAATGAGGATAGGGCAATCATTCAGAACAAACCTGGATGGCCTGGTAAGCTGGGACCATTAAAACAATGTGTTGCCGAATGCAAAATCATACACTTAGGATGAAAGAATGCAGGCCATACCTACAGAATGGGGAACCATATCCTGGAAATCACTAACTCGGAACAAGATTAAGAGCTCATAGTGGACAAACAACTGATGCGGTGGCAAAGAGGACTAATGTGATTCTTGGATATATAAAGAAGGGAGTAGTGAAGAGTAGGGAAGTCATTTTGCCTCTGTCTATGGCATTGGTGAGACCAGTACTGGAATACTGTGTCTGCTGTGAAGATTTTAAAAAGGATGTCGAAAAGTTGGAAAGGATGCACAGAAAAAAATCACAATTTAAGTGATTAAAGGGTTGGAAAAAAACCCTCCCAGGGAGAGTTTTAAAAAGCCCCCTCTTTTTTGTTTTTCCAAAAAAAAAAAAAAGAAAAGAAAAGAAAAAGTAGCCTGAATGCTGCGTCCAAATACCTTCAAAAGGAGGTACTGAACAGCTCTTTAATCTAGCTCAGAAAGGGATAACAAGAATCAATGGTTGAAAGTTAAAGCCAGAGAAATTCAAATTAGTAATACATTTTTTAAGCTTTGAGGATGATTAACTACCAGGGAAGTAGGGAATTTTCGATTTCTTCATGTGTTCAAATCAAGACTGGCTACTGATCGAGATGCAGGTTTTAATCGGAAAGCTTTCTCAGTGAGCCAGATGTAGCTGTTCTCTGGTGGATACCAGTCAATGAAAACTGGCCCAGTGTGGGATAGCACTACCCCAGTGGGTGTTTTACGTTTAGAGGAAAGGGAGCGTTCAGGCCTTCTCCCCACAACAACAAACAGAATCTCACCATTTCCAGACTCAGCCCTTGGACAACATGACCTCCTGTTGCAGAGTTACCCAAACCTATCCCATCCATGGACTGAACTGACAAGACGTCAAGAGTTTGAGAGCTGCACTTAAAGTGCAGAATACACTGCAGCCACTCATCTTTAATATGGAAGTGTGGCCTACAGAAAGCACAGGTTCCCGCATACAAAGCTCCATGTGCGATCCAAATGACCAGACCACAATGCATGCTAGGGAGGACCCAAGTCTCCACAGGCTGCACTTCTGGGTTAGAGAGGAGTGGGATTGGGCTGTTATTGGATCCACCCATTGTTCCTCCTCCTCATCAAAACACAAAGCCATTCATACCCAATTCCCAACTCTCCCATTAGTGCTCAAACAAACCCTGGCTCAGAGCTAACACAATCTGACACTGTCCCAGCTAAGCTCCTCTCTATTAAGAAAGTATCAACAGCTATGATAAGCAGACTTCAAAAATGTGCAACCAGCCCAGTAAGATGTGTGAATGGTGAGGTAACAATCTAGCTTTACTTCATTAAAGTAAAATGTGCCACAATGAATCTTTCTGGCATGTAATAAAAAGGCAGATGGAGGAAAACCTTGGCGCTTTTCAGCTTAAAGTGATACAGCCAAGTGCTTTCCTTTTCTATATAAATCTCTGTATAGACAGTATCATACTATTACAGCACAGTAATCACTGCAACCACCCCTGGAAGGGATCACTTAGACATCACACACAGATACTCTTTAGTCTTTAATATTTTTTTAATCTCAGTTGTTTGTAAAACTATCTTAAAAGCTTTAAAACAAATGTTTTATCCCTAGCAATTACGTCCTGCCATTTAGCAAACAATAATGTTCCTCCTATTTTGTGTAAGGAATATTTTTTGCCACGTTACAGACAAGACATTCTAAACACAAATGAATATTCAATCCAAGCAAATACAATATTCCAGAGGTGGCCAAATTTACTGACCCGCCAAAATTATATGATAATCTTCAGAAGTTTGAGAGCCAGAAGACATGCACAACCTTCACACGTGCATTTTAAAAAATATTAACATCCTAATTACTGTATTTTGGCTAATTACTGCTAAAGCTAGAGGCCTTGTGGGTCTCCATCCTGGTCATAAGTCTTTGGAAATCTGGTTGATATGCTGTCAAGGCAGT